CCCCAAAACCCCAAAACCCCAAAACCCCAAAACCCCAAAACCCCAAAACCCCTCATCGTTTATTCACATTGGATCTGAAATCTTAGTAAAAATAATGAGGTTACAGGTACTTATTTCTATATTGTCGGTTCAAGTTGGCCAAGAGCTCCTTCTTCTTGAACTTATTGATTCTTTGATCAACAGAGAAATTTTGTTGGGCAATATTTCTTAGGTTGTTCCTAGGCTTCCTGGAAAATGGAGTCCTTTCAAATCTACCTCCTCCCTTTCTTAGAGTGAGTGGCTGACCAGCTACTTGGAGGTTAGATGCATCTCCATGGGCCTTCTTTCCTCCATCATTAGAAGAAGCTGTAGAAATGATGGACTCATCATTAGATCTGACAGACTCCATGATTTTTCTCTCTTCAGGACTTCTAAGCCTTCGGCCAATCTCATTCCTGATATGAATGCCATTTCTAATGCCTGTCTTTGGGATGCCATAAGGTTTATTGTTCGGGGAAAATTTAGTGACGGAGTTATCTCGAGCCACTGCAGTTTTGAGCTTATATCCATACCTCTTCTTCATCTTCATTGCTGGAGTTGAGAAGGTATGCTTGTTCTTCCTCATCTGGGAATGAATTGAGTTATTGTTCATGTTTATACGAGGATTCCTGTTGTTCTGAGAAATCCCTGTCTTTCCAATAACTTTACCTCGGTTGTAATTATTCCCATACTGCTTATTCAGGTAAGGGTTCCTACGTTGTAAGGAGCTCGGCTGGTCGGACTCCCTCGCCTTCGGAATTGGAGGTAGTGAGGAGTTCGTACCAAGTTTTGCCTTGTATTTTGACTTAATAATGTTCAGATGGGATCTGGGCTCATGCTCCATTCCGTAAGGATTTGTGCTAATGTTTGAAATCTTCGGAATTCATGAATTGATCTTGACTAGTTCATCATAATTAACTAGCTTAGGGTCATCAAGATGGACATTCACTTTATTATCAGTGAAGTGCTTCTCAGCTTGGTTGAGAAGGTTGTCTCTGATTCGGATTTGTTCCTGCATCCTTTGGAGTACCTGATCTCTAGCATGCAGTTGCTTATTTGACATTGAATTTTGAGCGTCAGTCTCTATTGTATCTATTATTAGTCAGTGCTGTTTCATTTGCAGCTCAAGCATCTTAACACAGACATTTGAGAGGCCAGCACTTTCCCAATTTTTGGGAAAGTTCTCTCTTTTAGCCTTGATACTGTTTAATTGTTGTCGCTTTGTTTCAATCGTAGCTTTGAATTGCTTTTCATTTTTGTATAATGAGTCTAACTCTTTTGACATGTCAAGTGTGTGAGGATGATCTCGGCCATTTTCCTTAACTGATTGAGTAATGGCACTCCTGAGGTTGGCTATCGATAGCTTACAGAGCTCAGTTTTAGATTCAAGCTCTTCGATCCTCTTTTTGGTTTGTGTCTCTTCTGCGAAGTGGTTGGCTAGCTCTGTTTGGTAGATTTCAATATTCTCAGAGAAGCCACTTGCCATTTCTACTGTTTGCCTGATACTTGGAGGAATATCAGATTTAGACTCGAGTTCTCTCTTGAGAGTTGAAACCTCGCTCTTTAGCTGATTAATTATATTAGTGTATTTTGAGACATGGTATTCAACATTATGGACGTTCTTCTTCACAGAAGTTTTGATATTCTTTGCTCTGTTAGCATATTTGAGAGTATTGTGGGTATCTTCGTAACTATCATTTCCAGGTGAAATATTGGCAATCATCACTGTTCTTGAGTTACCTCCTAGAGAATCTTTTAAAAGCCGAGTAAGCTTGGAGTCTCTGTAGGGGATGTGATTCTTAGATCCCTTTTTCATATTGTCAACAAGTGCATTGATACAATTTCCAAGGGACAGAAGAGAACGATTAATGTTAGCTCCTTCAATCATTCTGATCCCTCTGTTATTTGTTTTAGCAGCTCTTTCTGATCCAGCAAGATCAATGAGGGACAGTTTTCCAACTGCTATTTCAGCTGTTGTCCCTGATGCCTTATCCTTAGCTTCCACGATGATTTGAAGAATGGCATGAGATCTTGAACTAGTTTCATTAGCACCAGTGGCTTCTTGAGTTCTGTTCTGGTTTCCAAAGAAAAGTAACTCCATCACATCTTGAGGAGAATCGACCTCAACTTCTGAAAGTCCAGCGACGGTGATTCCTTTGTCTTTATCTTCTCTAAGATCAAGTACTTCATCGGAGACAACGATGAGGTCTCTGATCATTTCATTGTAAATCTCAAGGAATGATACTCTGATATCGTAATTATAATTATTATTTTTGCTCTTTTAGCTTGATGAATAATTCTTGCAAAGTCAGAAACATGTTTCCTGGGTTTGACTCTGTTCCAAGCATTGTGTAGGTCTTTCCTGCTCCTGTAGCGCCATAAGCAAACACAGTAGCATTATAACCTTCTAAAATTCCCTCTACAAGGTGCCTGGTTGTATTTTCAAAAATTTCCTTTTGAGGGGTGTCTTGATCAAAAGCAAAATCAAAGGCATACTGTTTTTCTTTAGACCGGTTTCTTCCGAGAGTGCCTTTCGCATTGAGAAGCTCAAGAGGATCCATAAGGATTACTAACTTCTTATCCATGACTCTTATTATCTCAAACTCTTCACGCTCAATTTCCTTTTTGCTAAGAGGCCTCATCCGGACCGCAACAATCATATTATTTGTGGAACTTTCACGGTTGTCTAGCTCCCTCTCATCTAAGGTGTTGGCTTTTGATTTATTTTTCAAAATCTGTCCCGTAATCAACTAGAGCTTGTGACTGGAGGACAATGTCACTCTCTGCTTCTCCTCCTATGTCTGAATGCTCTGGCTTGTGTAGCTTGTTCATTTTTATTGTAATATTATATTTAAACTCAATGGGATGGGTGACAAAGGGGTTTTGGGGTTTTGGGGTTTTGGGGTTTTGGGGTTTTGGGGTTTTGGGG